GGTGCCTGGGGCGAGAAGGGAAGGGCTGGCCCCAGTGGGAGAGGGAGGCAGGCTGGCACTGGGCCAGCAGACCCGGGCAAGGGGCTCCCCTTTCCCAAAGCAGAGGCATTCACCCGTGGTCCAGACCTGGAGTTTCCATCTCATGCAAGGCAGGGGGATCTCGACTAGCGGGCTCCGGGCTGGGACAACCCTTTTGTGCTCCCGTCACCGCAGGGCTCACTTTGGGACCGGGTCTGTACAATGTCTCCATCAACGGGTGAGGTATTGGCATAGAGAGGATGCTTCGTAAGTCTGCAGATGATCCCAAGCCGGGAGGGGCTGCCAGGGCTTTGGAGGGGAGGGCCAGAATTCAAACTGATCTGGACAAACTGTCTGAGGTCGATAGGACAAATGCAAAGGGCTCCGCTTAGGAAGGAACAATCCGTGTCACACACCCAGAATGGGAAGCGCCTGTCTAGGAAGGAGTCCGGCAGAAAGGGATCCAGGGGTCAGAGTGGACCACAAGCTACATATGAGTCAGCAGTATGATGCTGTTGCAAAAAAAGCCAACATGGTTCTGGGAGGCATTAACAGGTGTGTTGTGAGCAAGACATGAGGAGTCATTCTTCCGCTCTACTCTGCGCTGGTTAGGCCTCAACTATAGTATTATGTCCAGTGCTGGGCACCACATTTCAAGTAAGATGTGGAGAAATTGGAGCAAGTGCAGAGAAGAGCAGCAAAAATGATGAAAGGTCTAGAGAACGGGAGCTAGGAGGCAAGGCTGAAGGAACTGGGTTTGTTTAGTTCGGAAAGGAGAAGACTCAGAGCGGACATGAGAGCAGTTTTCAAGTATCTAAAAGAGCGTTACAAAAAGGAGGAAGAAAAATTGTTCTCCTTAACCTCTGAGGACAGGACAAGCAGCAATGGGCTTAACCTGCAGCAAGGGAGGTTGAGGTTGGACATTAGGGAAAACTTCCTAACTGTCCGGGTGGTTAAACGCTGGAATAAATTGCCTGGGGGGTTGTGGAATCTCCATCCCTGGAGAGATTGAAGAGCAGGCTGGACAGACACCGGTCAGGGACGGGCTAGGCCAGCGGTTCTCAAACTGTTTGGGCTCCAGAGCCCTTTACATGCGTAACAATGTATGTGGAGCCCCAGCGGTCCACTGACTATGTGTTGTGCCTATCGATGATTCCAGTTTGTCAAGCTCGCGGAGCCCTGGGGCACCGTTTGAGAAACACTGCTCTGGAAGATGGTGCTTGGCCCCACCGGGAGGGCAGGGACTGGACGACCTCTCGAGGCCCTGCCAGTTCTAGGGTGCGGGGAGTCTACCTGTCTGTGCAGCTTGGGAGGAAGGCGGCACGCGGCGAACGGCGGCGAGTCAGAGAGCCCAGCCGGGGTCCCTGTGCTTTCTGCCTCCCTGTGGGCCATCTCGCCCCTGCGGGCACAGGGATCGCGGCCACAGCCGCCAGCGGAGCCAGCTTCCCCATCCTTCTGCATCCCTCTCGCCCTGCAGACAGCCCTGCCCTCTCCGCCGCGCCCTGGTCTGGGCTGCAGCGTCTGACCGGCAGCGGTAACTGGCACACGCCATGCACGTCAGGGCCGGGGGTCCCTCCCCCACCACACGCAGGCCCCGATTCGCCCCCCGGCTCTGCCCGTGGGACCCCCCCGCCTGCCCGGCAGGTGCAGGGG